AAAAAAGCAATGTCCCCTCAGAGTCAGGCTAGCCCACATTAGCAGTGATAAATGCAACCAAACGCCTCCTGTAGTAGAGTTTCACAGCGCTGTGAAGGAATTTCGGCAAAACATTTTTAGCAAAACATCCCCAGACCATCACACAACCATTACTTGTTAATAATCTGCGGACCCAAAAGAAAAACGGAGAAAAACAACAGTTTGTTGAAAAGTTGGACCAATGAGCACAGAAGGCAGATCCCCAGTCATGGGGCAGAATAAAAGCTGAAAGCTGGGTGGAGTGGAAATGAATGGGAGTCTAAAACAACCAAGGGTTGAGAGCCAGGACAACAGTCCATTAAGACAACCACTCCAAATGACTAGGCAAGTGTCGCATTGAGAGAACTGCAGGACGTCATAAGCAGGTTGAGCAGACCAAAAACGGGGCAGAGATGGAAAGCGAGAATGAGCAGCAAGACTGGGCGATGGTGATGGGGCAATTGTTGCATGCCTCCCTAGTCTAAGGTCAGGGAGGTGGTAACAAGGAAATTCATGAATGGAAAAAAAGAAAAACCCAGGAGCTCTTCTTTCTTGTCCCAGCACTCCACAAAAATCACACATATTTTTGTAACACACGAGAAGATGATTTATTTGGCAAGTTCAAGAAGAGTACAAAGACACTAGACATAAAGCACAACTCAAACTTGACTTGAACTTGTCTGGACTTGACTAGACTCAGACATGAACCTAGAGATAAAATGCACAGCACAAAACAGAATCCCAGACGATAAGACAACACAAAATCAAAGTGCTCAAAGAAAAGTGCCCATCAGGTCTGCCTCGGATTCAATCTGTTGGCAGACCTAATGTATTTGAGGTTTCTGTGATCAGACCACAAATGGGATCACAGAGCCCTCCATCCAGTGGGATCCACTCACCCATAGCCATCTGGACCACTCCCTGGGTTACAGGTGGTGGGAGAAGCAGGCGCATTGGTGCACCTTACCATCCTCCAGAGACGTCTAGAAAACAATTGACCCAACTCCCACATCCGACACATCCACCTCCACAATGACCTGCCTTCAAGGGTTAGTCATCCTCAAGACAGGAGCCAAAGTAAAGCAGGCCTTAAGGGTCTCAAAGGCATATACTAGGCAGAAGAAGACCACTGGAAGGAAGCAACCTGGCTGTAATTTCTAATAAAGCAACGATAAAAGTTAAAGCAAATAAACTGTTGCAAAGTTTATAAAGAAGCAACGCCTCCGTAGAGTCAATAACTGGCTACCCCCATTAGCAGTAATAACTGCAACCAAACGCCTCCTGTAGGAGAGTTTCACACAGCTGTGAAGGAATTTCAGCAAAACATTTTTAACAAAACATCCCCAGACCATCACACAACTACCACTTGTTAAAAATAATCTGTGGACCCACAAGAAAAATGGAGAAAAACAACCGTTTACTGAAAATGAGCAGAAGGCAGATCCCCAGTTGTAGGGACAGAGCCAAAGCTGGATGTTGGGTGAGGTGGAGAGAAACTCACCTAAGCATGGTCCATGCTGATACTCTCCACTGAAATGATGGTCTTCACGAGCGGTACTGACTAGGTGCTGAGGGAACACTTCTCACACTTTGCACTCCCTGATCCGGACAAGATAGTAAGCATTGCAGAGGTGCAGTTTCATGAATTACCTTGCCCACTGCAAGATCTTGAAGGTAGATGACATAATAGGTATGTTTTTAACTATTTGGGGAATGGGGAGTCCAACAAATAAAACACCCGTTTTTTATTAGGCTCACCGAAGCAGTGACCTGCACATGCAGAAGTTGTGGGGCAGAAATTGAAGCAGAAGCCCCCTTTCCTTAGCCCATGAAGCATCAATAAATTTCCCCTCCCAGCCCGAATCGGCTAACTGGAGAAATCACCACCCACTTCGAGAATTAACTGATTCAAATGATCTTGTTTGTATGAGTCTCCAGTAAACAACTCCCTGATTCAAATGATCCGGTCAGAGCGAGTCTCCGGTTAACCATCTCAACGGGTATGGTTTTAGGTAAAAACAAAACATAGCATTAAAATAACGCCCATGCATGCAGTTTCAAATACATTTCAAATTAATATTTTTGCATAGCTGTTACGGGGCGAACGAGACGTGCGGATCCATGTGCAAGGCTTTATTTACAAAGGCGT